AGTAATAGTATGTTAAAGTCAATTTCTTCTGCTGTATTTCAGGTATCAGGACATGGAGAGTGAGGACTATGCTTTTTTCCAGGGAATGGTTTTCCTCATGGAGCATGACATCAAAGATTTGGGCTATGATCTCACATTTAGCACAGAGGTAAGGCAGGAGATGGGACAAAAACACAGGGCAAAACAATCTTGTAGATGGCTTGACATTGAATAGCTCTGTTCCATCTTCAAGTTGGTAATTTTAAAGATTTACCAGTTGATTACTATGGTTTATTAATGGGTAATTGATGTGTCATAAGAATGTCTAAAATTTTACGCCCATGATGCATAATATGTTGAAACATGTTTCTCTGGCTGAGAGAATTTTTATATTGGGGAAAAACGTGTTTGAAACTGGTGATATCATGTGACCTTTTACTATTGTACTTCGTCTAATGAAAATGTCAAGACTAAGTACTTTTACAGAGGAAATTTGGGATTTGGTATTTCAGTTTCATAATAAGAGCAGCAAGTTTGCTTAGTGTGTTGTTCTACAGCATTATGATTATAGAATTTTATCTCATTGATGTGATTAAAATGTGCAAAAAAAATGTTCAACTTTGAATGAATCTTTCAGATCCAAGAATTTGGTGTGACAGAAGTGCGAGACTTAATCCCCAACGGACGTAATATCCTGGTGACGGAGGAAAACAAGCGGGAGTATGTGCGTCTGGTGTGTCAGATGAAAATGACAGGAGCCATTCGCAAGCAGATTAGTGCTTTCCTGGAAGGATTCTACGACATCATACCAAAGAAGTTAATCTCCATCTTTAATGAGCAGGAGCTGGAGTTGTTGATATCCGGCCTACCCACCATTGATATTGATGACCTTAAATCCAACTCGGAGTACCACAAATATCAGTCAAATTCTCTGCAGGTACGCTGGCTACTTCTTATGAGGATGTGTATTTATAGACTGCTTAAGAGATTAAGTGAAGAGTTAATGATAAGCTGGATATATTAGAAAATATCATGTCAAGTCATATGGTTGATTTCTAGGAAAATAATATGCAAGTTAAAAACTGCATATCTCTTAAATTTTGAAAAAAAAAAATAAAATAAACAGTTAAGATAGTCAAGGTTTTTTTAAATTGCTAATTGGTCTAAATAAAATTTATGATATCGGTTATTTATTCCAGATCCAGTGGTTCTGGCGAGCCTTGCGTTCCTTTGACCAGGCAGACAGGGCACGCTTCCTGCAGTTTGTGACGGGGACGTCCAAGGTTCCTCTGCAGGGCTTTGCTCACCTGGAGGGGATGAATGGCACACAGAAGTTCCAGATCCACAGGGATGACCGGTCTACTGATAGGCTGCCCACTGCACACACATGGTGAGTGGACGTAATATTTTCATATTTTAATAAAATCTAGCAAAGTCTGCATGAAGCAATCTAGCTGTGACATTATTCTTGATTATGTTAGATCTGATGTGAACGTGTATCAGCACAATATAATAATTAACCCTAATCATTTCTTGGACTGTCTTAACCACTGAACACAGCAATGTCTTACACATTAGAGAAGTGTCACCATTTTGTTACATAATTGCCCATCTTATCAATCTTGTAATGAAGTCTGATACATTTTTAGAAATTTTGCAAATTACATTGAAAAGAGCATTTATAGCAAGAGTTATTAAAATGATCTTGTCTTCCACTCTCAGCTTCAACCAGCTAGATCTGCCAGCCTATGAGACCTATGACAAGCTGCGTAACATGCTGTTGCTGGCCATCAATGAGTGCTCGGAGGGATTTGGATTAGCCTAACTCATTAACCTGCCCAGCAGTATGGAGTGAGCTTAACCTGGGTGGAACATTTCTTGAGATCATTCTATGTGAATAAGTGGAATATTTATGGAAGGATTATATGTACATTTCAAATACAATTGAATGGTGATTCGAAAGAAGGTTTGGAATGTTATGATGACCTTTGTAAAAAAATCCGCTTTTTAAATCTAATCGTATTGAAATATTCAAAAAGGGGATTGTGGCAAGTTTTAAGCTGTGATTGGACTTATTTTCTGCTCAAGGCAAATGATGATTTACCTTTAGAGAAGTGAACTTTTGTGTTAAAAATATCTTAAGAAAAGTTCAGGAATTCAAGTAGAGTGCAGAGGAGTGCTCTTATCCAGCAAGTCACATTGCTTAGTACATGTCAGATGAGAATGTGAACTTCTAGCACGAATGACTCTGTATGGTTGTAATCTGAAGTCCTGTTGTCATTTTGAAGCTGAAGTAACTGGATCCATTTTGTAGGATATTGTCACTGACAGATAGTGCCAAACTGAGACTTGGGAGTAATGAAGAAAAATAATACCTGTAATAGGAAAAACTCTGCAAAGGCTGAGAATTGGCACAGTAATTCTGTCTACTAAATTGGAGGGGGAAAACCCCCGGATTGGGGTGGAGAGAGATCTAGCTGTCTTTATTATAAGTCTTGGGAGTTTGTGTAATTTCTGAGGTGTTGACTATCACTATTAATACTATACATCAAAATGTAATGAAATACATAACATGTAAATGAATAAATGCTGTTCCACAACCCCTTGGGTGAAAAACTTCATATCAATAATTATGATGGCTTACTTGGCGCTTCTTTAAGTAAATCTTAAGATCCTGTTTATTTTCAGCACTGCAATATATTGGTGACATTACTTTATTTTTGATCCTCCTGTGGAGGGGTTTTGTTTGTTGTTTTCTGTGAAAGGGATATGTATGTCCAACGTATGATTAGATTTTTTTGCCAAAAATGTGTTATAGTAACTGGACATGTCCCTAAAATGTTACATATATAAATATGCTGTTTGTTCTTGTATTTTGTCAGTTGTTCAAGGGACAGAATGTCATATATGTGAAAATGATTGCAAGTGTAATATAAAATGAAAGGTTGACACTTAGTCAAGAAGATATTTAGATTCCACGTTATTTGCTTTGGGTTAAATGAAAAAAAAATCTGAGAATTCTGCTAAAAATGTACTTTATTATATGTGCAAATAAAGCAACTATGCTTGTTTGTTACAAGATTTATAGTTTTGTTTTTACAAAGCCAGATGATAAAAAAATAAGTACACATTTAATTTTAAAAAATTAAGATCTTTCCGACATAGTCTACCCCAATATCTACTAAAACAAATCTAATTGTTATTGTTGAGACGGAATTGTAAAAGAGCTTGCAGCTATAAAAGATGGCAAATGATGAATACTGATATTTCATAATAATATCAATGATCTAACTTGGATGTAATGATCATCAGTTTGTACATCACCATTTCTTTTTCAGTCATTTGACATTTCCTCTGAATAGTCCACTTTTACACTTCAGTTTAAAACTGAACAAGACGAATCTGGAACTTGGTCAAAATACTCAACCCACAATTTTCTTGTAATTTGTGGTTTAAACATTAAACCAAAACTGGTAGCATAAGCCAAAACTGGTGTCATAGTTTTAAGCTGGTTCAAAAACCAGAAGGTGACAATTTAACATCAGAAAAAAAAACTGTGCACAGTCTTCTACAAGAAGTATTTCTGTTACAACAACCGTGGCTATAAATTCAAGAATTCTTCTGCTTGTTACCTACAACCTCCTGGGTTTTGCTCAGTTGCAGGAAAGCATGACAAATAAGACAGCAAGGCACCACAATCCAAATGGTGTTCATGAAAATAAAATAAAACCAAAAATAAAGAGGATGCCACATGGGACTGTGAATGTAGTTTTCCTTGTGTTCCATCATGAAAAAGATGATAGTTCCATAAAGTTGTCCAGTCGAGATCAACAGCTGGAAACAGAAGCGATATGGGTGCTTCTTAACAAGGAGCCATACCGTCAGGAAACACAGGGGGCCCACTACGAATGCTGTAAAACCCTCAATGCAAAGAATGGTGTTGTCAGAGCTGGAAAAGTACATGACAAACATTAAGCTACATTCACATATATTTTGCCTCTTTTGAAAATTAATGGGTTTTTTCCAATAAACTTAATAAGGTAATAATATTATATTATGATAAAATGACAACATATACACCATGCCTATATAATAAACCTACTGTAAATACATATATCATGAAAATCTTTACTTACAATAAATAACTGAGAAACATTTTTGTTAATCATAACAGTCTATGAGAACCACAGAAAACTTACATAACATATCTGCTGTCTCCTTTGCTGTACTCCTTCCCTGAAAGAAAGTACTAGTAAATATCAAATATGAAAATATAATTTAAAAAATGCAGTAAAAAATTTCAATGTATTCAAATGAACCATTATAAAAATAAGTATTAATATTCTTTTAAAATATTAATTCTGAGATGACTTGGATCACATTTAAGTTGATTACAATGGTCACCGATTAATTTCACCAAGTCCACTGCTTAATTCTTTTATTTTTAAAGTCTTAAATTCTTCACTACAATGAATTGATATGTAATTAATTGGTTGATTTTTTATAATAAACAATTTAGTTAGTAAATTAGTCTACACAAAATACTTACAAGCTTGTGCCGGGAAATCCTGTAGCTCATTAATGCTGTCATGATGAAGAACGAAGTATCCCTCAAAGAATGTGTGAATACAACCACACACCATAAACCAAGAGGCAGACAATTTTGGGCCGGTGGTGTGTAAGTTTCTTCCTGCAACAACCCATGTTAACCCCAACACACACGCTATCGGGGCAAAAAATATGGTCAAGATTTCTACCGGTCCCTTGTCATTTGGAATATAGTTCGGTAGAGATATTTCCTTGGGTAAATATGGATGAGCTACTGGAGACGACATTCTGTGCGCCACAAATGACGAGGTTTCTATTCGTATTGCAAACAAAAATGGTCTGACAGGAACAGCGTGAGCTGCCGAGGTATTTGACCCAATAAAAACCCAGGTAAGCGTAACCTCTGACCTCAGGGAGCATGACAGATTGTAATTCTAATGACATTCATTTATACAACAAAAAGAAAGATGTTTATATCTAAATATTATCTCTGAAAAAGTTGCAGTGTATAAAAAAGCTTGTGAATGAAAACAGATGAAAAAAAAATACATACGGGAAAGTAAATGAGTCGTACTAAACAATAATGATCACTCTCTTTAACCGGAAGTTGCTCATAAAAACCGGTGTAGTATTTTGTGAAAGCGGTTGATTATTCTTGTTTAATTATGACGTGAAATAACATTTTAAACTATGTTGTCATATCATTTATAGAATGCGTAGCACTGAGAAGATACTGGTGTAACGACATCACTTTAAACATGAATCGCGGGTGGCTTGAACTGGAGAGTGACCCCGGTGAGTAGATTTGTGCTTTGTAGTGTTCACTTTCTCTTAAGGTTTGTGTAACGATCAGTTAGTTTTTGTTGACGAATTCATATAATTACATAATTTAAATAATACGCATATCGCCGCAGTAAACTAAAGCATTGATGTTATATTTTTTCAGGACTGTTCACGCTATTGATTGAAGATTTTGGTACGTACACTCAGATCTTTGTTTTTTAATGTTCCACATAAAGCATGTATTTTCCCCTCTTTTGTTAAGAAAGGGAAATAATAGTGCAATAAATTAATCTGGAAAAGACAACTGGAGACATTATGATGTAATGTTTACAATAAGTTATGATACGCTGAATTTTTGTACATTATGGTGATAGGGTATCAATAGTAATGTAAAATGATTTAGACGTTTCGACCAGTCCTCGATAGTATAGTGGTAAGTATCCCCGCCTGTCACGCGGGAGACCGGGGTTCGATTCCCCGTCGGGGAGGTCTGATTTTTTTTTGTCTTTTAATATAGTTTAGGTAAATATTATTGTTTACTTAAGTCTAAGAAATGGGGGAAAAGCTCTATTAAATAACAAATGACCACATAACGCGTGGCAGTAAGAAATCTGAAAGATGAAAGAACCATTACATGCTATTGCAATGATAAATGTTTTATCATTTTAGGCACCCAAGGGGTTCAGGTTGAGGAAATATATGACTTACAGAAGGCAATGGAAGGGTATGTAAAAGCTAGACTTTTTAAAAAAGGTCGTTGCTTTTTTTTTCAGTTTTATTGCAAAATATGTTACAAAATTTTCACTAAATATTAATTTTTATTCAGTACTTATTACACATCTACCAGAATACACATGATATATCACAACTCCATCCAGTAAAATATCTCCATATATATTATACCAGTATTTTCTTTTCAGGCCAGTCTATGGGTTTATTTTTCTCTTCAAGTGGATAGAAGAACGCAGATCGAGAAGAAAAGTCATCCAGGAGGATGAGTCATTTGTCACCGATGAAAACAAGTTGAATGAGATGTTTTTTGCCCAGCAGATTATCCCCAACTCCTGTGCCACACATGCTCTGCTCAGTGTGCTGCTGAATTGTGACCAGATCAAGTTAGGGGATACCCTCACCAATTTCAAGGAGTTCTGCAGGGGGATGAACCCAGAGGTTAGGAGAAATATTTGCTGTTTCCTCTCATGTATATAGCTAGCACAATTTGTTTCAAATAAAAAGTTTAGCATTAGCATGTTGATTTTTTTTTTATTTGGCATTGGTAATTTATGTATAAGTGCATATTTTTCTTTTTTAAAAATCTCTAATTGAACCAAACAAACAACAAGAAAAAATATATATATATATATATATATATATATATATATATATATATATATATATATATATATATATCAGTATTTATACAGTGAGACAGATTGTCCTATTCCATTAATAAAATATTAACTTCCCTTCCTTTTTCCTCATAAAGAACACCTGGTCCAGTATATTTTAGTTTTTTTTCTATTGCTAAAGGAATGTTAAATATTCTTAAAAGAAATAAGGATTTGATAATGATTTTATATTCAATACAGGATAAAGGTTATGCCATAGGCAACATGCCCGAATTGGCCAGAGCTCACAACAGCCATGCCAGGTAAATCTTACTCACACCTTAGAAAATGTATTTAAAAGGAACACATATATGATTGAGATTTTGCATAAAAGTTTTGTATGCATTTTACAGAAATTCACAAATCTTCTTTATATGTATGCCAACTTGATTAGTATCAAAGCATTTTTTTATCATTACTTTTGGACAAATTTTTTTTTCTGGCTCACCTTGGTGCCATAGACATTAGGTTGACGGGATTTTTACACAATAACATCCCTGTATGAAAGATGATATGTGTTTCTGTATATTTGTAACATTAAAAGGTTGGTTTTATTAACAGCACTTCATTTTCTTTAGCATTTATTGACCCTTTACAAAAAAAGTAATGTGAGTTGTTGTTTTTTTTTCCATCAGACCTGAGCCTACTCATTTACCAGAGAAACAACAAGGTATTTCCACCACAAGAATGATGGAAGCTTTTCATTTTGTCAGCTATGTCTCCATCAATGGGAGACTTTTTGAATTGGATGGCTTAAAACCTTATCCTATAGACCATGGTAAGTGTGCCTTATCCTGAAGACTGTGGTAAGTTGGTTTTATCCTATAGATGGCTGTCACAGTGTTATACCTGTTTTGTCATGTTTCACAAGCAAAAAAGTCTAAAACTGATGTTTATTTATTCATTTATTTGATTTTTTTTTTTTTTTTTTTTTTTTTGTGACAATTATTGTGACGATTGTGTTGAATGTNGTGGGCATGACAACAGGAGGGTGAGTGATAACTGGGAGACTGGGCATGACAACAGGAGGGTGAGTGATAACTGGGAAACTGGGCATGGCAACAGGCGGGTGATCTTTACATTGCAAAAATAATTTTCCAAGAAATTTTCCCATTATCAACCTGTCCTAAAGCATTGAGACAATCACAATGTTTAAACCTATGTTTGAGTTATAAATTTCTAATTTGTACAGTCATGAGTTAAATTTACCAATCTCTACCTCCATAATGAGAGTGAATATGAAAGTAGAATACTATTATGAATGATATCACTTTATTCTCCAGAGAGCCGTATCATGACATAAGGTTCAACTTGATGGCAGTGGTGCCTGATAAACGGCAGCAATATGAACGTAAACTCAAGACACTGAAGGCAAACAGACAGATTGTTCTAGAGGCCCTGCAGCAGGTGAGTCACGGACAACAAATGTCTAATATACACTCTTTATGGCCCATTCCACAATGTTTTTGAGGAGAATTAGGTGTAAATAAAGGTTCAGTGTATCATTGAGTATGCCCTTTGACCATTCAGCTATTTCTCCTTTCTACTGAGAAGAACACTCTTCTTATCAAAACTGGGCAGGAGTGTTGGGCAGATCTCAATATAGATATATGAAGGCAAGTAAAAATATGTAATAGACAACTGAATATGAATGAAAATATGAAACTACATATACATTTTAAAGATTTATAGCATATAACTGTCAGTGAATATTTTGTTCATGCTTCAGAAATGCACAGTATTTTTTCAATTATTCTGAATGTTCACTTTTTCACCAGCTTCTTGACAGGAAGGTATGTGTCATGTCTTGGGTTTCACAGGCAGTGCTGCACCCTACAGTTCTTTGGTATAGTGAAGCAGAAGTGATTTATGGACAAACTCAGAAGGACAAGATATTGTCATATTACTTTGCCAATTGTCATGTTTTTATTTTTCAATTGTCTTATTAAAGATATCAAAAATTATGTATTACATCATCTAAATGACTTATTTAGGAAACTTCCAAGTCCATTCATGACAAAATATTTTGAAGTTTAAAAATTTTTGCTACTTTTTGAGAAAGACCCACTTAACATAAAATCAGTTTGTCCATGAACAACTCCGTTTTTGTCTCTTTGTCAAAACAGTTTCTATATAGTGGCTGTCAGAAGATTTAAATTTGCTACATGGCAAATAATCTGTAGTGTGGAGAGTTACTGTGTTTTACACTGTAACAGGGGTTGTGGACTGTAGTTCTAGTATTTTGTTTTATGTTGTTCTCACAGATAACAGTAGTTGGGTTATGCAGGCATGTCAAGTTTTATCATCACATGGCTGGAGTCTTTATTAAAATATAAGAAAGCTGTTTCTGAATTGTAGTATGTTGTTTTGGTTATTCTTTAGCTTAAAAATTCCCTGATTTGGAAAACCTGGGTCTCTTTGCTTTTACCCCTGGTGGTTTTACATTAAAACATTTTTAATGCCACCTTGGCTATTTCTCTCCTGTTTTCTTTTCACCATCTTATGACAATGTTTGTCATCAAAGGTTTTGTCCGTGGTTTTGGTTGGGGTATATTTGAGGATCCTGGTTCATTTGACATAATTTTCAGTATTGTGTGTACTTAATTAAAGCATCAGTTATGTTCACCAGTAAACTTCTGAATGTGCATGGGATTTAACAGAAATGATAGTTAGTGGCTGTGCACTACAGAATGTGTTGTTTATTGCTGACATGATAACTGTTATTCGTGATCTTGACTCCCAAAGAAATACTACATACCTAATGAATTCTTCGGGCCTATTATAGCAATCAGTGTGAGATTTTAATATTGATAAAAAGCAGTTAACATTTCTCTTTCCTTGATGAAAATGGCAAGCTTTCCTTCTACCTTTGATAAAAACGGTCAAGATTTCTCTTACTTTGATGTCCTAGCCATTTTTCTATTTTATTCCATCCAGTGGTTATCTTCAGTGCCAAGCAATGATATATTAAAGCATTTCTCTTTCCAGATGAAGAAAAGTTGCTCAGTGTAACTCGAAAATGTGAAAGCCACACCTCCATTTATTTTCTAATGACAGCCCCAAATCTGACCACACATATGCATGTATTTTTCACACGCACACACCCACATGCCCACATATTCACCCTCTGTTTTACACATATGAATGCATGGACACCTTCAAAATAATCTTGTAATGTTGTTAGGAATTTGGTGGAAAAAAAAAACTAAATGAGTAAAAATCAACAAAGGCACATATTTTCATGTTTACCTTTTGTTGCATTTGCCTGTTGCATATGAATTTTTTTAGACATTTTGTTTTGCATCATCACATTTATAAGTTTAAGTATTTTAAGGCTTAACAAGCAAAAACAAAATGATAAAGCAGTTTCACCATTTTGTATTTTCACAAAATATGTGAAGTAAATTGACTAGCATTTCTGTATGTACTTGCCGGTAATTTGTTTCAGCTGTTAGCTGTAAAATTAGGTCAAGTACTAAATAGTATTATCAGTATGAAAACATTCACAACCAGTTGATTCGCAGATAAACAGATCTTCAGATCATATATGGCTGACCCACTTAAAAATTTTTTGCATAATCCTCTAACAGACACTGAATAGATTCCCTGAAGGGATTAGGTGGTAAGCTTTCAAGTGGCTTGGTCATATTTCATCTACGGGTCTGTTAATCCACAGATCAACTTTGGTTGTGAATACAGCCTGAGATTTCATTACCAGGCACAAAGTTGACCATCTTCATTGGTTGAAACACAAATTGATTTAGAATTGTTTAAATGCTCATTGAATTGTATGCTAGAATGAGACGAAAAATAAAAGTAACTATGCAGTTTACATTTATATTGCAGATGGTCAATGTCACAACCCCTGACCTTGACCCAAATAAACCAAAGCCAGAACCTGCCATGACAAGATCTAAAGCCGCCAGAGCAGCCATATCTGTCACGCCATCCATGTCAACCAATCAGCAGCAGAATTCGTCAGTTGAATCCAGTAACCAGGGAGGACTGAAAGTGAAACTCAGGACAAGGAATTCTGGGAATGGGACTGCAACAGGGGTGACACCTATAGGAGGGAGTCAGGCCAGGTTCCCAGCAGCCTTAGACAGTCACAACTACTGCAAGAGTCCCATTCTGGAGGAATCTGGAAACAAAACACAAGCAAAACCAGGAGATGAAGCAGACGATGAACAGACTGATAGCGATGTGGAGGTAACTGAGTCAGCCACTGACTCGGTATCAAATTTTTCAGAGTCAAAGCCAACAACGTCTTCTCCCACTAACACAAGTAAAGTTGATCTGCGGAAGTTCCGTGGCGTCAAGGATAAAGACATTAAAATTCAGATCAAGGTGGGTGACGGCAAAGAGAGCTGTACAGTCATCCCAGCCACTGTGGCTTTAACTGATGTCACCAAACCCCTGACAATACAAACTAAGTTTACCTGTTCTCCTATACCTAGCTTTGAAAGCACTGACACTGCCTCTGAGACTGGGAGTAACATTCACTCCCCATACTCCAACAGTCCACCTGTGTTCTCTCCCACAGCCGCTTCTGCAAGACAAGCTGAAACCACAAGTAAAACCAGAGCCAGTCTAATTAACAGACTAGAGGGAGTGGTGAAGTCAGAAAAGATACATGGCGCTGGCTTTGATGGTTTGTCTGGGTCAGGAGAGGACGGGGAGATAAGTAAAGAAAAGATGGCGGCCATGGAGATGATGCAGGGACAACAAGGCGGAGGGCATGTTAAGACAGAGAAGGGAGGACTCACAGATGAAGAGCAGAAGAATAAATTTAGTCACCAGGCTTTCACCCCCAAGGTATATGAAACAGGATTAACATTATGCTGAGTCAAAACCACTGTGTTTGATTTAAATCAATTTTGACACTAGTGAATTTTTAGATTTAAATGTACTTTGTGCCAGAATGATGTTCTAGAATTTTGAAAATTAAGTTTAGCATTCAGATGTTTGTTGGTTTCCTAAATGAATCAAGTTCTATAAGTCAATTTTGTTTTAATGCATGGAAAAAGACTAAAGTTCAAATAAGCTAAGAGAAATGGTTAATTAAAATATGTAATTACCATTTGAATTGTCTTTAAATTACCATTTGAATTGTCTTTATTACAGGACTTGTTAGCTTTACTGAAGAATGTAGAGGGTGAGATTAGTTGCTGTGAGGCCAACCTTAGAGATGAGATTGAGAAAAGGAAAAAGTACAAGGTAACAATTTTTGCTTCAAGTTTTGTTATGATCCACTCATAGTTTTTCTCCACCTTCCTGTTTATACTGGCACACCAAAATTTAACTTTGTGTAAAGCTGCATATGAAGTGTGTTGATTTGTCAAATCATTTCCACTTAACTCAACCAAATGCCACCACATAGTTTTAAATAGCATTATTTAAAGACCAAAGGATATTATTTCATATTTCCCAAAGAATGATATTTGAAGAGATGTTTCCTGCTTTCTGTCTATGCTACATATAACCCTCAGAAACAGTGATACAGGGAACATTACAGTTGCTTCATATGTAATTAAAAAAAAAACTGTCTTTCAGATTGATGACTGCCGCAGGACACACACATACGATCAGTTTATTTGCACATTCCTCTCCATGCTGGCTGAGCAGGGCAAGCTGGCAGACCTGGTGGAACAGCACATGTTAGTCAAAAGGAGACAGGGAGTCACAGTGGGACGGCTTCACAAGATAAGCAAAGTTGATAAAAGGAAAAGAGCCAGACCCAAGAGAAGACGATGATTGACAAAATCAGACATTTGAAATTTTAATATAAGGATAACCTTGGGAGGGAAGACCAATAATGGCAATGAATACATGCATTAGTTATTATGTTAAGTTTTTTTTTTGTTTTTTTCTTTTTTGCCTTTTATGTGGTCTCTGAACTGGAAATGTAAAAGTCAAAGCCAGGACACAATTTTATAAGAATTTGAAGTCAATAGACGGTCTTAACTAAGGGACAGTTCACATGAAAAATCTATTTTCTAAAAATCTATTGGCAGTATCTTGTGATCACGGTCTGTGCCCTGAATACCCCGCAGCATAATTACTGGCAGTGCGAGCAAGGTACTTCCAAAGCTGTAATTAATTCTCTGCTGTGCTCGGAGGAGAATCTGACACCTTGACGGTCCCAAAGTCTGCTTAGAATCTCACTTGGCAAAGTATTTTCAACATTTTATAATACCTCATTTAAGCAGCCTTTCAAAAGTCAGCTATGTATGAGTGGACTAATCATATGCAAAAAGTTCTAAGACTGCTATCAGTTTACTTTTAAATTGCTTCACTGTCTAAGTCCAGCAGGCTTGGCTTAGCCCTCTGACTCAAGTTTTTGAGGGAGAGAGGGGGTTGTTAGACAAACTGCATAGGATTGATGCAATTTATATGAAAGACAAGAACCAAGAAAAAAAATTAATGATGACTCTAGTTTAAATGAATATTTAAACAAATAATTGTATTTTAGGCAGGCATAATGTCAAATTTGTGTCCAGTGAGAGTCAACCTTTACACAGAGACCACAATCCGAATTTAACTTTGAAACTAGGAATGGATCCAGTTTATTTCCTGAAGCAGGTATATTTCATCATGCAACTTGTCAAATTTTTGTTGTAAGGAAAAAACTTAAATGTTGTCTTGTTAGAAACTTCTTTAAAAATGGGAATTTTGTTAAAGAGTTATTGAATATTTGTTAAAATTTGTAGGGGAGTCATGTTTTATGCTATAAGTCTAATAAATTAAATGTATAATTGAGTAACAGAAATTATTCCTTTGTTCAGTTTGCAATTCTTTCGAAATGAAATAATTGGAATTTTCAAACAAGGAGATTTAAATTCATTTATTCAAGCAAGTTCAAAATACTGACAGAAATAGGAAATGGATGGGATAAAGCCAGATTGAAATCATGCCCATTGTTAACTTATAATACACATTATAAAGTACAATCTTAATTAATCTGATTCATGAATGTTCCAATACATTTATATTTAGTATCATAATGTTCAGATGAGTATAACTTTTACTGGTTTCTTCAGCCAGTTACTTGCTGCATATCCTGCCTGATGGTTTCTATTGGACTTCATAACATACTGAAATAAAAACTTCTGTTTAACATATTTCTTTGGATAATGTGACAAAACAAAATTTTAAAAATATAAATACAATGAAGTCATCTGAAATCATACTAACCTACAAATATCCTTTTGTTATCACAGAGAAATATTCAACAATGTTCACACACTTAATAAAAATAGCAAGGAGATAGTTCGAGGATTACATCAAACTAAAAAGTCACCATGGACTACTTGATTTGCACCAGTCATAATGCAGAATGATGATACCGCATTTGTTGGCGTATGATATGGTTGTATTGTAGGGAGAATTTGATATAATATGATATAATAATGACAACATTCCCATACGATTCGCGTTTGGTTACCACATCATTATATCCAAATGATCCAGATCAAAGTCTTGTGCTAATGCAAGTGTGGAGAATCAAAAACAATTAATACATGTATGCATAGTAAATGTAATCATCGATAGTTTCAGTAGTGTGGCTATATCCTGACCTTGGGCTGTTGGCTATGGCGTAGTCATTGGATTTACTGGGTTTAAAGGACNTGATGAACAGACTGATAGCGATGTGGAGGTGACTGAGTCAGCCACTGACTCGGTATCAAATTTTTCAGAGTCAAAGCCAACAACGTCTTCTCCCACAAACACAAGTAAAGTTGATCTGCGGAAGTTCCGTGGCGTCAAGGATAAAGACATTAAAATTCAGATCAAGGTGGGTGACGGCAAAGAGAGCTGTACCGTCATCCCCGCCACTGTGGCTTTGACTGATGTCACCAAACCCCTGACAATACAAACTAAGTTTACCTGTTCTCCTATACCTAGCTTTGAAAGCACTGACACTGCCTCTGAGACTGGGAGTAACATTCACTCCCCATACTCCAACAGTCCACCTGTGTTCTCTCCCACAGCCGCTTCTGCAAGACAAGCCGAAACCACAAGTAAAACCAGAGCCAGTCTAATTAACAGACTGGAGGGAGTGGTGAAGTCAGAAAAGATAGATGGCGCTGGCTTTGATGGTTTGTCTGGGTCAGGAGAGGACGGGGAGATGAGTAAAGAAAAGATGGCGGCCATGGAGATGATGCAGGGACAACAAGGCGGAGGGCATGTAAAGACAGAGAAGGGAGGACTCACAGATGAAGAGCAGAAGAATAAATTTAGTCACCAGGCTTTCACCCCCAAGGTATAAGAGACAGGATTAATATTATGCTGAAAAAGAGTCTTTTGCTTAATTTAAATCTGTTTAGACACTGGTGAATTGTTTAGATTTAAATGTACTTTGTGCCAGAATAATGTTCTAGATTTTAGAAATTAAGTTTATTTTTCAGATGTTTGTTTGTTTTCTAATTGAATCAAGTTTTAGAAGTTAAATTTGTTTTAATGCATGAAAAAAGGCTATAGTTCAAATAAGCTACCATTGAAAGAAATGGTTAAATGAAATATATAATTACCACCTGAATTGTCTTTATTACAGGACTTGTTAGCTTTACTGAAGAATGTAGAAGGTGAGATCAGTTGCTGTGAGGCCAACCTTAGGGATGAGATTGAGAAAAGGAAAAAGTACAAGGTAACAATTTTTGCTTCAAATTTTGTTGTGATCCACTTATACCAACAGTTTTTCTCAACTTTCCTGCTTATATTGACACACCAAATTTTAATCTTTACTGAAAGATGCATATAAAGCGTGTTGACATGTCAAATGATTTACACTTGAACTCAACCAAATGACACCATATAGTTTTAAATATCATAACTTAAAGACCAAAGGGTATTATTTCATATTAGCCAAAGAAAGATATTTGACGAGATGTTTCCTGCCTCCTTTCTGTGCTACACATAACCCTCCTTTGTATCAGAAACTGCATAACAGGGAACTATATATACACTCGCTTTACATGTACATAACTTAAAATAAAAACTTTGTCTGTTTTTCAGATTGATGACTGCCGCAGGACACACACATACGATCAGTTTATTTGCACATTCCTCTCCATGCTGGCTGAGCAGGGCAAGCTGGCAGACCTGGTGGAACAGCACATGTTGGTCAAGAGGAGACAGGGCGTCACAGTGGGACGGCTGCACAAGATTAGCAAAGTTGATAAAAGGAAAAGAGCCAGACCCAAGAGAAGACGATGATTGACAAAATCAGAAATTTGAATTTAAGACTAACCTGGGGAGAAGACACAGATAATGGAAATGAACACATGCATTAGATACTGTGTAAAGTTATTTTGCCTTTTATGTGGTCTCTGAACTAGAAATATAAGAAACAAAGCCAGGACACTATTTTATAAAGAATCTTAAGTTGATAAATGGTCTTAACTAAGTCTGTTCCGAATCTCACTTTGCAAAGTTTTTTCAACAATATTTTATAATACCTCATATATAGCAGCCGTTTGAAAGTCATCTATGTATGGGTAGACTAATCATTTGTGAAAAGTTCTAAGACTGCTATTGGTGGACTTTTAAATTACATAGCTAAGTGTAAAATGAGGTATTATATTTAAAATATACTTATAAGATACTTTAATTCCCAGAATTCCAAGTAAAGTTTTGATGTATTTGCTAAAATTTATGTGCCACAATAAAAAATAAAATATTAAACCAAATCATCTGCAATCATACAAAAATACAAAATTATTTTCTTTAGTTATCACAGAGAAATCCATTACAATGTTCACACATTTCTTAAATACAGCATGGAAATAGTTCAGAGGATTACATCTAGCTACAATATGTCACCAAAGCACTTTTTTTTATTAGCACACCTCATAACGTAAAAGTATGAATACATTGCAATGATAAGTACATGGAGTAGTATATTATGCAGAAAGATAGTGAAATAACAATGATAACCTTCCCGTACAGCCCAGCTGTCTTTTGACTATCACTATGTATCTTCATCCATCCATATCGTCCTTCTTTGACATCATTTTTATTAAACTTAGATAATATTTATAAGCTAATGCAGGTGTGCAGAATCAAACATTATACATATGTGCATAGAAGATGCAACCATCGATAGTTTCAGCAGTGTGGGTATATCCTGACCTGGGGCTGTGGGCTATGGCATAGTCATTGGCTTGGCTGGACAGAACGCACAATACACAGTGTCCACTCACACCTGTGGCTTCTTCCAGTTTATCTTGTACATATACTGCCCCAGGGACTTGTCTAGTGTGTCTAGCATAGTATTCCACCAAGGCTTTATAAACCTCTTCTGTTATTCCTTCCTTCGGTGTACCAGTGGACCTCTCTTTCCAAACCCAAAATCCATAGTCCCCGCGTTCCTCTTCTCTGAAAAATCCTACTTCATAGCTAAACATCCGAGATAGGATGGGCGGCTGTCTTTCCTGTATACTACAGCTGAGAAAGTGCCCCAACAGTTCTTCCCACAGTATTCCTTGATGGCGTTGGCTTTCCCATGTAATGTGCTCTCGTTGCGGGTTATCTCTGGGATGCTGAAGCTAAGGAATGTGGTCTTATCATTTGTGGACATGATGGCGCATGCTGTTATGAAATAACTGAAATAATGAAAATGGATTTTTTGTTGTTATTGCTGTAAATGTGAGAGCAAGCTATAAGCATGTGAGGCGGAAAAGTGAGGCAAGCTAAAGGAGCGTGTGTACGCTGGGTGGGGGTGTATTGGTATTTCACTCTAATAAGAATCATTCAATGTATCAACTGATTTGTTTTCTAAAAGAATCCAGGTTCGGGTTTAGAAACAAATAACGAGACAGTGTGGCCTAGGATATTTTGAGTAGATCGACTTGCTTTAAAGTTTCTTTAAGGTATGTTTCTAGTGATAAGTATCACAATCATTTTCCTGGCTGGTAAATGTAAGTTTTTCCTACATCTTTTGGCTAATGAAAGTATGTTTCTTGAAAAGTCATATGTAGCTAATGAAGTTTCACAACATAAAATATTGCATAATTTTCCAAATTTTAAATATGCACATACCTTTAAAGATTTCTACTCTACATATCAGTCAAGTAAAAAGAGGATGTAGAGCTAGAGAAAGTATAACGGTCACTTTCTTTTTTGAGGAAAGAAATTGCTGATTCATCGTTCGAAACCAGGGAATTCTGTATTAAAGCGCAGGCGCCGATAACTATGTGCAAACAAAAGAATTTTTCGTTCGTGATAAAACGTGGCCTACTTTGGACGTGTGTTCCCAAGGGTGTACTGTCTTTCCGAAGTGGGGGAGTACTACCGTCTACCAGGGCCGCAGTTATTATTCTGTGGACATTTTTGCTGAGGCGACAGTACAGAGATTAGCCATATATTTAACAAGAGATCTATCTCTTAATATCTAGTGAAAAATCGATCTGTGGCCTTGGTAAAGGGTAGGGGAGTACCAGCGTGCGCCTACATCGGCAATTTTACAGGGGATGTATCGATGCGGGGATCTATCGGTGTGGGGTCATATGCGCATAAAACAAAAATTTACTAGACGCGAGTTTTGGTGCGGTGGGGGCAACGTTAGATAGTCAAAGGCTCGAGACACGGTGATCGCTAAGATCGCACACAGAATGATGATTCCTCGCCGTGGTCGCCATGATCGCCAGTATGTTCAAAACAATCACACAAAGGAGGTTAGTCGCCGCAAGATCGCTCAAGGGAAGCAAAAAGGAGGAACAAGCATCGCTGCGGTTGCAGGTGGAGATACAAGCATCGCTTAGGTTGCAGAATGGATGCTCTATGATCGGCCAGTGGTCGGCACCAATATATGCTATTTTTTACTGTCAAACTAGGCAGAGCAGGGCCGTAGCCTCCGGGGGGGCAGGGGGGGCAGCTGCCCCCCCCTGCGATTTGAGGTGCAAATATGGCAAAATGGCAATATGAACCCACAATTTTTGACTTCTGATTGAGCAATAAATAACAGTTAAAATGCACCAGAATGCAGTATTATACATACAGTTTTTAAAAAATTTCCACACCCATACCCTCACCTCGGGTGCTTCGCCCCCTCGTGTCCGCTTACTGCCCCCCCTGGCATTTTGCTCAGGCTACGGCCCTGCAGAGGTATGGTATTTTTCAACAAAGGCAAGAAATCTGAGGGTAACAGCTACTAGTGGGCCCCATACCATGCTCCAATTGGTATTTTTGTCAAAGTTCTTGAACCGGCCCATTTTCGGAGGTAATTATAAAACGAATATTTTGCGGTTGCTCAAGGTGTAGTTCTTGTCGCAGTTCGTCTGTTGTAAACTGACTAAAACCGTCTGTGTTGTGTAAGTCAATGACAGACCCACCAGGTCCATGGCTTCTCCGGTGCCTGTCCACCATTCTTAAAACGACGCCAATGACCATCTGGTTTATTATCAGTGCATGCAGACCGTGTATTGCTGTAGTTTATAAAGGAAGTTTATTCCATATTATATATTTTCTGGAGATATTCTGACCGGGTGAGAACTAATGAAAAAGCACTTCAGGTCTCCCAGCAGTAGCCAAAGATCTAGAACGCCCATACACCGTCCATCGGTCGCGCAGGAGAGAGAGAAAGATTGTAGAATGGTGTCCTCTGATGGCCATTTATTGCATGATATAGAGAACGGAAAAAGGATGCTCAATGGTTGGTCAAACATCTCTCAAGGCCCCCTGCACCGTCTATTCTTTGAGAAACTCTAATCTAATTGAAACTGATAGTCTATTCTAATAAATCTAATTAGGCCTAAATGTATACAGTAGTTGAGTAAAACGATTATTCCTTTTTTACAATTTGCAATACTTTCAAAATGAAATGATTAGAATATCCAAATAAAGAGATTTTAAATTATTTAAGACAAATTCGTAGAAGTACAAGAAACAGAAAAAGAGTGGATTAAAGTTCGAACAGAAACTACGCTCTTTGTTAAATTTAATTGCACATCAGTAAAATGGAAGTTTAATAAATATGATTGAATTTATAAACGTACAGATACCTATATACCAGGCATACATAATGTTGATTGTTCCAGGTGTGTAATTATATCCTACTCTTGGACTACAGGCTGTGTGACATGGTGATCGACAGTTAGGCCCCTATTATAGGTCAAAATCTACCCAGTAACATCGATTGTTTCTTTCGTCATCTACCTGATGGTTTTCAAGGGGCTTATTATTATTATACCATCCCAAGAATGCCAAGTAAACCCCTTGTGTTATTCCTTTGATTAACGTGCCAAATAAAAATATTGAAAATATTACCAAAAACCAAGACACCTGCACTCATATGAAACTATGTAATTATTTCAACTAGTTAGGCCACACTTTTTATTTTTATGGATGACATCCTCTGGGTACCCCAAAATCGGTGCGAGAGGGCGAAAATAAAAAAAAAAACAGTCCAAAAAAAAAAAAATACTGCTTAAGTAAAGGAATGCTGTCAGTACACAGCTGGAAACACAAATTTTACCACAGAAACACGTATCAAACTAGCAATATGTCTTTATCCATGCTCTCAAAATAGTAAAGCATTGTGAATACTTCGTAGAAATGTAAAAAAAAAAAGGTCATGAATAGATATACTTCTTATTACAAAATCTATTAAGGTTATTTCATGCATTTTGTTGGTATAGCAATCAATAAAACAAATATCAAACAAACAGTGTGTCTTTATTTGTATTCACAGAATATTAAAGCATTTTGAACACTT